CTAGAGGTTCAGGCCTAGTCTAATATCTGTAGCTAATACCATTTTCATCATACACACACAAAAAATCAGTTTCATAATGCTTCACTGTATGCTCCTATCATACTTCCGTGCTGTGCTGGATCTAATGCACACTTTCTAGCTTTTCTGAGATATTCAAACCTCCTAGTTCAAAACCAAGAAGAAATTTTGTACCACAAAACATGATCTCTGAGTATACACCTCCCATATGTTCATGGTTAGAAAGTACATATTGGTCTTGCTTTTTAAGTATAAAAATGGAACCTTATTTATATGTCAAATAATGGAGTATTTCTCAATTTTTATTTTTTTGTAAGTTTGAGCTTTCAACAACCCAGCCTTTTTTTTCATAGCAGTTCCTGGACAGCAGAGAGGTCCCCTGTCTGGCACTGGATTAAATATATTGTTGGAAGCTCTCCGTTGCCTGGATGGTCAGGACAGTCACCCTCCTTTTACAGATCATCTGCTTGTGTTGCACAAACACTCTGCCCTTAATCATAATGGCCACAATCCTATTTATTTGGTCCAGTATCAATTTAACCTGGGATTTATTCCACCTGTTTCTTATTTTCAAGTTTAGACTATTTAAAGAAAGGGAAGAATTCTTCCACATTTACAGATCAGTTTGACAACTATTTTTCAAAACACAAATATCCATCACTGTGAATAAGGAGATAGTTTAAAATAGATCATGCATCAGGATTTCCTTTCTAAACATCAGTTGCCATGATTCACAAAAGCGAGAACAATTTCTCAATTCTGATTATAGAAAAAGATTTTTCTATAAAGATGCAGACTCCATCCCATTCAACACATCTCTACCGAATAAATTCACATTGCCATGCAGCTTCATTTTTAGCTTGTATACACTAACAAAAGCTAGAAATTCAAATTATCTGTGTCACTGTTCTCATCTCTACAGGGCCTCAGAGACATGATGTTTTTTCAGGTGTATAATCTGTGGTTTAGACAGCATGAGGGACCTGATGTGCCTTTGTAGCTGGTGGTCCACAGAAGGTCCTATAGGTCAGGTTGTTCCAACACTTCTCAAGGAATCCAAGCCAATGCAAGTGGGACCTCTCTGACACCTGACCTTAATTCAGCAGAGGACCAATTCCATCTTGGAAAGAAATACTTGCATCAGCAGTAGAAAATTACAACAGTATTATGCTATCAGCCGAAAATACAGCCTTGGCTACTCTAGAAAACCCTTTCAGTAGTGTATAAGGATTATAACCAGTAAGTACTTACGGAACACAGCAAAGTACAGAGGAGTTGTAGCACAGCAGCAGATGGTGACTACATAGAGCAATAATGATTTTATGCAGGCTGGCTAATGACACCCTTTTTGTCTTTGAAAACATATTTTGAATCCTGATGTTGACAGGCATGGGTGAAAAAGATGCCCCAAATAATACAGAAGTATGTATTACTTTCTTTAGATGTGATCAAAGATAAAAATACAGCAATGGAGTCTTTGAAGCTCACTGTGAAATGTCTGTGCTCCACTAAGATTTAAAAGTAGCACATAGTTTTCAGAAACGCTACTTCTTGTAGTTTTGTACTATCCTGAACACACATGGATTTTACCTGTTGGGCATCTAACAGCATGCTTGGCTGTTTAACTGCGGGCATTTGAGCCCATGGTAAACTGTGATGCTCCCTACTGAAACTAAATGGAAAAAACAAAAGGGATTTGCACTGCTCCATTCCTTACTCTCCTTGTTCACTCTTCCCAGTAAGTTTGAAGGGAAACTCCATAATCTTACCCATGGTCCCTCATCTTGCTTCCCTCAGTGTCCCTAATGCAGTGTGACATTCAACAGCACATTGCCTTTGCAACTGGACTGAACATCACTCCACTGTGTAACACCTGGTCTGCTCTTGTACGCTCACAATACCAGGAGCTCGGAGCTGTTGGTTAGTTAGAATTGCTTTTGTAACTGATCAAAGTTTTCATACAGCAAATCATAGCAAAAAAAATCTGGTGGATATAATCTGTATGAACACACTCAGGAGAGTCAAACCCCAATAAGAAGCAGCACAGACAGCATATGGCCCTGTTTACATACACAACATTAACAGTATGGAATCCAATTAGGAAGGTGGAGATCGTAATCATCACATTAGACAGCAATTCCCAGAGCATGTGAACTCAAGACTTCGGCATTTCCTTCCCAGACTGAATGATGCTGAATTGTTAGATTTATCTCGTTCCTTTGGTTTCTGATAATGTGGTTGCAGTGAAAGGTCGATGGGGAGCATAAAGCAGGGACAGGAGTGACGGGCATTTCAGCGGAGCTGTCAGTCGCCTGTACAGCAGGGTGTGAGCTTCAGAAAAGCTTTACTTCTTACAGGGATTGTAATCAAGAGAATTTCTGTTGCAAATCTCTGCATGCAAGAAAAGCATGATTTCAAGCTCTTCCGTGTTACTGCTAATCTAACAAGGTTTATCCAACGTAGTGCTTCATGCCATAAGAGAAGTTAGACTGCTACATCTTTAATATCTGGACTTATATTTCTATTTGGATATCCTTGCTGAGCATGGTCAAATATCTTCTCTTCCTAATAATTAAAAGGAGACAGTTACAATATTGAAAGCTGTCCCTCGTTGAAGAGTGTGTCCTGGCTCATCTTCCCTTTGTAGCTGAGCACTTAGGGAATTCACAAAGCAATCAGAAACGTCTGGTGCACACAAATCATGATCTGCAGTAGTTACTCATTAGCACCCAGATTCAAGTTTGCAAACCTTTTCACCGAAGCCATGACATACGTGGTCTATCAGTAAAACAGTTGTTAGCCATGTTCCCTGGTGGGAATCGTGCAGCGCGGTCCCTGCCCTGCCAGGGACTGCTACGTACTCTTACTAGCTACTTTTCCAACAATATTTAATTAACCTAACCTTAGGATTACATTTCTGTCTTTTCCAGGGATGCGATTAAACTCTAATAAAATAACCATTTAAACTGTTAAATAGAGTTTTTAAAATCTCTAATCCCCTCAAAGAAAATTTTCAGCCCAGTTAATGACTGCTAGCTGAAATGCTGTTTTTAATTAGTTGATCCAAAGAAACTTGGAGAAAGTGGCTAATACCTTACTATAGAAACATTGTAATGCAACTGAATTTGTTTTTACAGTTTAAACATACTTATCACTTTTAAATAAAATGTTTTCATTATTCAGCAAGTAGGTAACAAATGTATCAATTAAACGTATGTAGAACTAGTTTCTCTTTAAGTGCCAAGTACACAAAAACACTAGCTCTTTTGGAATTTTTTGCCAAAATATCTCTCACACTCATCACATATAATGGAATTTTGATAATATAAGAATTTTTCACAACTACTGTAACTTTGTGAAACTTCAGATGCTGACTAACTTCCTAAAAGAAAGTCACAATTTAAAGGACAGTTGAATTCTATCATGACATTTGGATTGGCTTGACAATGATGTCATGCTGTGAAAACAGGGACAACAATATAGAGCATTAATAAGGAAAAAAATAAGACAGACTGTATAAGGAAGATAATGCTTTTTCTTGGAATAGGATGTTTCCTATTCAAGGCTTATCATGCCTTGCAGTATTCATAGAATTCCAGATTTTTCAAATTTGTATTTCTACTCATTATTCTATTCCTTTTCTATAGGTTGCTGATTTCTAGTCTTTTTGATATATAGAAAAATGAGATATGTTTTAATATTTAGTATTTTAATAGTGAAACTCTTAAGTAAATGCAACATTTTCATTTGGATTTTGAATAAAATAAAAATAAAGATCAGGCTCCCAGTTCACATGCAGTAACAGAACCCACATGGGTTTTGTTAGCTTATGACAAGTATGGACCTGGCCAAAGAAATTGGAGTTTGGGTTGATAAATAAGCCAGATTTAGGAGCCATTTGGCTGGTTTCCATATAAACCATAGCTTTGAAATTTGTGAATGCAAAAACTCGACTGTAAAACTGCCCAGCTAGCTGGGTAATTCAGAGAGCTCTGGTGCTGGCATGGTAAACTGGGCAGACTTGGGAGGACCTGGATCACAGTGAAAGTCCTCAGCTAGTGCTGGTTCTGATCATACATTAATTCTCTTTCACTCCATCCATTTACAGGCAGATTCTGGCTCTAGAATTGGTTCTGGACAGGAAAAAAAGAGCGAGTAAAGACGGAGTCCTTCATCTTATTACAAATTATATGACAATTGTGGCCATTCAAATGACACTTTCTTTGTTACTGATCTGTTGAGATCGTCTAACAAGGATCCACATTCAAGTTTTAAAACTTAAAGAGTTTGGGAAATACTAAGTCCATTTTTTTTCATGATGGTGTTTTGAACGCCTGCAGGTGCCTCGTGCGGCAGACTAATCTGCAGATGATCTTTTGAGCTGCAAGTAGCATATCCTCACTGCAAGAATTATTTTGATGCCAAGTGCTATCATTTGTAGCCAAAAATTTTGAAATGAGACTACCAACTAGTACACTTTAAAGCTGCTTAGGTAACCAGAATGTACCCAAAAGCCAGCCAAGACAACGTGAGTAAGCTTTCATCCATCATCAAAGCTGGGATAAGACAGAATACCTCAAGGCATAACATTCTGTTGCTCGTTTGTCAGTGTTGGACTGTTTTCTGTGACTCTACCACTTTCCTCTGTATTAGCCAAAAGAACAGATACTGTTGTTTCTAAGCAAATTCAGTAAAACAGATTTAAAAGATAAGTTCCCAATGTTTTTTTTTTCTTTTCTTTGTCTCAAAGCTTCTCTTTGCTGCTGCACCCATGAGGTTCCCAAGCATATCATACACTTTCTTGCTATTCCTGAGCTACTGCTGCACAGTCAGCCCCAGCGCTTCCCACTCCCCCTCTGCTGAGCCAGAACATCTTGCTGCTTTGTTTTCATTAATAAAGTGTAAATGTGACTCTCAGCATGCAGGCTCTTTAGGACTATATCAGCTAAATGGAGATACTCATAATGCTTTATTGTTAACAGTGAGTGAAGCCACAAGAAGCTCAGTACTTCTGGATGGTTGAAGTCTTGAAGAGCAGCATCAGTCAAGCAGAGCAGCAGGAGCCATGTCTTTGCCCTTCCGAAAAGAGTTGGAGAAATATAAGAATATCAATGAAGATGAAATACTCAGCAAACTCTCAGAGGATGAACTGAAACAGCTAGAGCATGTTCTTGATGACCTTGATCCTGAGGTTAGTAACGGGGGCCGGGGGGATTGTAGTTCAAAAGCTGCCAATTATAATTATAAATGCCACATACTGTAGCATTTTATATTTGTATTCCATTACAGTAGAGGCAGCGTGCCCTAAAGGATGATCAACTCAGCTGGGGACATTTTGGTTTTATTCCTGCTGTGATGTGCTACTTGCTTTTGTACAAGTCACTGTGCCCTTTCTCTGTCCCTTGTCTATTTAGACATGAGCTTGTCTGCAATCTAAATCTTTAATCATGTTTGCAGACTACAGCATGTGAAGCTTTTTATGGCTGCTATTTCTGAACACAGCAATAAACAAACATAATGTGTATTTGTGAAGATCAGATCTTTTGAACTTCTGAAATCTGTTGACTATGTCATTCAGCAAAGATATTTTTAGCTGAAGAGAGTATATTTAGGCATGATTAAGAAAAATAAGATTCAGCTACAGAACCGTCATTTTCTCGAGAGCAAGGATCATGTGGGTATTTGAAGATACTCTCACAAAGAATTTGAAGATCTCTGGTCTGGGAACCACTTGGTCCCACAGTAATGAGGTTACAGTCACAAGCGTGCTGGATGGGAATTCTGCCTGTACCTACCCCAAAGGCTTCCAAACGGATGTAGGAGTTTGAAAACTGGCAGGTAAACTGGCAGATAAAATCCGTACACTCTGGAGATAAATTTGAAAAAACCACAATAGATTGATAGCTTCTAGTTTTATATCACAAATTTACCTGGAAATTAAGGGTGAGGTTTTCTGTTCTCTCCCTCTCTGCTGCCACCTCCCTCACCCCTACCACTTCCACAGTGTGTTTTTTGGCGTGTTCAAATATCTGGCATCTCAGTGGGAGACACAGAACATTCACAACATTAAGACCAAGCTGTGGTGCATTTGTAGTCAAGCTACATATGTGCAGTAAATGGGTACGTTTGTGCACAAAAAGGTAAAATGTCTAGTGACTTGAGCATATTGGATGTGCACAGGATTCCCGGGATATTTGCCAGGGATCAGACTTACTGTGCATGTTCTGGCCAAGGCTGAAGTGCTTCTGCAGTGCTTTGGGGCAGCTTCAGCCTGCTGACTTTACTGCGCATAGACCGCGAAGTCCACGTACCTGTATTCCTTTCTGGGATTTCCTGGGCAGAAATGTGGGAAACTTATGCATCTTCCTATATCATGGGGTGCAGATGCAGTCGCATGGTCACACAGCTACATGTTTCAAGTCAGGCTCCTTCTGCTTGCTTCCTGCATACTCTAAATAGCTGAAGTCCAAATAATTCACCAATTACTTTCTGTGCGTGCCATTCATTTCTGAAGTCCAGGAGACATCTATGTTAGAATGAAAGGAATTTTTGAAAAAATGAAAAGAAAGAAAAATGAGAAGAAAAACGAGTAAAAGAAGAGAAGAAAATGTAGAGAAAATGTATCCTGATCTATTTATCTGGACTGCAAACTCTGTGGTTATAATATGTGTAAAACAAAGGGCTCTGATCTTGCTCAGTTCTTTGGTGCTGTGATTGTAAATATGGTTAATGAATATGTTAAGAGGTGGTACAAACAAGAAGGCTGGAAGATACACTGGTTTTAATGGTTACATTTAGGTAATGTGTGTTATTGCTGTCAACAAAGAACATTATGTGAAGTGACATGCAAAGAATGGTTTCATTAAACAAAACAACATTGAAATTAAAATTTGAACACTAGCATCTTCTTTACATGCTTCCCTCTCTTCCACAGAATGCCTTGCTTCCAGCGGGATTTAGGCAAAAGGACCAGACCACTAAGGCAGCTACAGGCCCTTTTGACAGAGAACGCCTGCTGTCGTACCTGGAGAAGCAAGCACTTGAGCACAAGGACAGAGAAGACTTTGTACCATTTACGGGGGAAAAGAAAGGTACAGTCTGTCTTTGTGTCAGTGTTGAGTAACAGACTGCCTAGACACAAACATCCACCACTGCCTGGCCTTGGTGTGGAATACGCTGGGACAACAGAGGTGGAGGCTGTTTCTCTGCAGGGTGAAGCTCAGGAGTCAGGGCGAGCACTGTCGAGGCAGATGAAGCGGTGGTTTTATCTGGTCTGCCTCGCTGCTCTGGAGTTACAATGGCAGGTTTGATCGGGCCCGCTGGTGGGTGTGGGAGCACAGGAGCACCAGTCCAGCAAAGGGTTCACTCAGCAGCTCCCAGATCAGCAAATGCTTCTTTGCAGCCGCGGATGGACAAGGGTGGCCTCCTGACTGCACTGGGACTACTCCCACGCGAAGCTTTAGGCCCACGCAAGGGCACGGTACTGGGGGAGGTGTTTAGGAGGAAACATTAAATTCCTTTCCAAGTCAGTATTGCCTACAATTGCTCTAAGTAATAGCTCGGGGAATACACTTACAAAAAATAAGTATTTTTCCACTTGTTTACTAGCACATCTGGCAATGCTATTCACGCAGACAGTTTCTCTGCTTCCCTTTGTCCTACAGCTACAGGAAAAAAAGGGAAAAACAGGAAAACCTAATTCTAATTGTTCAAACATTGGTAGGATAACCTTAGGGCAGGAACATATATTTTTAAGCAAACAATGTTCCTTTAGCACCATTATCTCTTTTTCCTCATTTATATACAGTGGATAAAAATGCCTACCTCGGGCCACGCCTCCATTCAAGAAGGGACTTGTTATGCCTGGGTCCGTTTCTGGCCATCTAGTGAATTTGCCATCGTTTCAGCAGGACCTGCTTAAGGGAAAGCAAAGATTTCAAGAAAGTCACATGCAACATTTTTTTTACTTTATGTATCATTACCAAAGATATAAAATGTTATTCACAGTCCAAAAGTTGTTACTATCATTACATCGTGTTCCTATTTGAAACAGCAGTTTTGGACAAACGAGCCATTGTTCTACGTCTGACAGATACATTATTTTATCAAGCAGCATGTTATTTAACCTGCGTTTTTCCTCCATCATAACTGGTGCTTGCTGCTATTCACAGGGTGGCTCTGAGCCCATGGAAATGCAGTGCCCCTGCAGTGATCCTGCGGTAGCAGGAGTGATCAAGCACATACTGTACAGAAAGAGAAACAGTTTATTGTTGTATGGATTTATTACCAATTGTTTCCCTTTTCCATTCTCACATACACCACTGGATTAGTACAGTGCAAGGTACCACTTGCAGGTCTCTGCATATTTATACCAACACCATCAGTCAGGTCTCACCTTGCTGATATTTACTGACTTAGGGCTCAGAATTTGTATTTTGCACTGTAGTCATGTCTGAGATCTCCAAACATGCCTGAAACATAAGTACACAAAAATCCAGCGGTGGGTGGAATTGCATATACCCATAGGGCTGGCACTTGATCTGTACAAAACTATTCCTGGTATTGTCCCTGACAGAGTTATTGTACGTACCGGCCTGTTAATTCTATTTCAGTTTTCTTTTGGTTAGACTAAAGCAGTATTATTCCTAAGTTTGCTTCTCTTAAAGTGCTTATTATTTCGTGGTGTCTCCGGTGTGGAAATGCCACTGCTTTACAAACACAGATGACCCCACAGGTCACCTTTCCCTCTGCACAGACTGAATTCAGCCATGCCAGCATCTAAAACTATTCTTATTTTGTTTTCTGATTTACTGTGATCATTCACTTCAAAATTACAATTTGAAGAATTGTGACAATTATGAGGTTATGATAGCATTTTAGGCTAAGGGAATCGTTCCCTTAATTTTTCCTGTTCCTTGTACAACACCAGTTCCTGACAAAATCTTCAGTATCAGCTTTAGCAGATTAAGTCAAATGAAAACAACCACGTGCTGTGATTTATGCAGTCATTTTACAACCATAACTGAAACACAAAGAATCCACTAATTTATTTTTTTTGTCAAAGGCCAAATGCCATAAAATGCCCTTTGTTTCTTTGTTAATATTAGAAATAACTAAAGTAATCTGAGATCTGTACAACTGATGAGGTGTCCAGTACCTTGACAACTGAGAACTGGATGAACAGCAGTGTCATTTTTGTGCTGCTTTAAGGGAAATGGCTTTGGGAAAGAATCTATTTATTTTGAGCTTGATCCTATATTGGTACTGGTGTCTCTCTCCTGCTCCCGACTTGGCAGGAGGTAGCCACAGAAAAACAACCAGAGTTCAAGCACTGGGCTACGCTGTCCCCTTGTTCTCTGTACCCCTGGCTCTGCGCTGCAAAAACTTCTTGTAGAATCTGAACCTTCTGGAATTGAGATCTCCATCTGTCAAACGTCCTGCAATTTTCCTATTAATTGTATGCTAATTCTGCTAATTGGGTGAATCTGGTGAAACACGAATGTTGCGCAAAGGCCATGTATGGCTGGCTCTGGATGTTAGAGTCCGTGCTTGTAGCTGCAGTTTTACTTATTTTGACAAACTTGATTGAAGAGACAATAACAGAATGACTGTATTAAAATATTAATGACTTGATTTTCATTTATACTACAATATTTCCTGTGCAAGGAAATAAAGCAATCCTGCAAAGACATTTCCAAGACAAGAGACTACATGCTGGATTTGAAGTCACTTTAATTAGAGAATAATTAGCATTCTTCCAAAGCTTAGTAATTAGCTCAGGATAAATAATTTACATTTCTAAAATATGTCCTAAAAGAAACTAAAGAAGAATATCTCTTGAGGAAAAGCTTATTCTTCACCTTCATCATGTTGATGGTCTCTAAGGTATATTTAAAGACTGGTAAATATTTATATGATTATATTATATAGATGCCCATTAAATGATTTCTTTACAGTACAGCAGTGCTATAATTTAGCCATATTGTAAGTATTCTCTGATTAATTTTACACTAATTCTACTAGTTAAAAATTAAGTTCTGGGGCAGTTCCAAAATGCATCCAGTTGTGTATAATTAGAAGAGGGAGGTGTTGATGTCAGTGTACCATTTGGCAGTATTTACCACCTGAGAATATTTGTGTGTCAGTAGGATTAGAATATGTCAAGTGTTGTTTAAGCTTTTGTCACTGTTTTGTACTTTGATATTTTTCTGCCACTGGGAAAGCATTTATTTTTTCAAATCTAGGAAGTAGGATGCTTCTGTCAAATGTTAAGTGATATTTCTACCAGTTCCTATGTTTGTCATGCAAAGCTGATATTGACATGAAAATTCAGTGATGATCTGAAAAAAAGGTGGCATTTTAAATATCCTCCTTCCAGAATAGTCTGTGATAAATCATTGTTGTTTATCTAGTGTCTCTGCCTAACTTTTTTAGTGTTAAAGTTTTATTGGAAAGTTCTTGACTAAAAAGCAATACCAAACAGCTGCTGAAGGACAAAATTCAGTTGCGTATGTTGGTCTCCATATGCTGAACACAACCATCAGGTTTTGATTGTGCTAGAAAACAAGCCAAAACAAATTCCAGAGCTGATGGGGATACTCAGAGCGGTTAAAACACAGAAAGTGTTAAATACGAGCTCGAGGTGGGGGGCTGGTCCTGCAGGGAGTTGCCTTGTTTTTGGTTGTAATCATGGTTTGGAGAGGTTGGAAATGTTTGGCAAAAACAATCAAACGTATGGCTTGCATTAGGGTTTTGACCCACTGCCATATTTCAGCTTGTTAACGTACTACATTAATTGTTGTACAAAACGAAGGTTTTAAGCCTGTACAGGATAGCTTTCAAATTGCAATGAAACCCCAAGTTGTGTGCTGTGCCAGGGTCAGAATGGTCCCAGCCTGCCAGGTGTGCACCCAAACTGGCCACCAAGCAATTTTTTCAGACCTAAGACAAGTCAGGGGTGGGTACGTTATTTGAATGTCCCCATGGCAAGTGTTTGTTCCCCCTATGGTATGCAAATGGTCTGGTGGCCTTCAGGAACTGCTGTGCAACACAGCTGATCATCAGCCATCCCCACCAACAGAGGGTTCGTTATTAATGAGCAGTGGAGGCGCAGGGAGTTAGGGCTGATAACTGTAGCCATAGTGATTGGCAGCTTGTGTTTAGTTTATGTATTTTTGGATTAGTTCCTACTTAGGGTGGATATTCTAGAAGTACTTGCGTAGAATCTGATGAACTACAGGAGTTACTTTGACCCACTGCATTTAACACATATAGCTAGAACGGCTGGTTATCACACTTAGATCACTGTGAAACCTTTTCTGTACCATTTTCAAGTTCATGAAAGGTCCAGAAATAAAAAGAAAAGGTAGAGAAATTAAGGGGCAGGGCATGCACAAAATATTAAAGAGCAGCGTCAATAGTGCATGTTTTCTTCTTTCTTTCTTTCTTCATTCTCTTACTGAATGTGGTCTGTACAGCTGATCTCAGTTAAGATCTGAGTACTACTGTAATGCAAACAAAATATTAACAATATTTCTGGTTTGTTGCAGTGGTTCTCTTAAGTACATGACATTAATGAAACAATTGAAAAAAGTTCTGTTGTGAAATATCATTAGATATGAAAAGTTGGCCATGCCATTTTTAATTGCTATAAGGATTGTTGTTTCAACCCTTTACCACTATCCCTGTTTTCTACAAGGTCTTCTGCTCCTTGCCAAACCATTTCATTTTGGATCCGATCCAGTTCTCATCAAAGTCACAGAAAAACTCCAGTGGATTGGGCTATTATTATTTGTGGCTGGAAAGGGAAGGGGAACACGCTTGTATGGGATTAAATGCTACCATTTTTAGCCAACTGATAAAAGGGGAAAGGAAGAAAATAAGGATGATGAAAGCAGAGAACTTTTGGGCAAACCCCTGTTTTCAGTTGCTCTGGCAGAGACTGTCTTGCATGTTGCGTTGTGCCAAGCAGAGCATCAATACACAGCACTAGTAATAACGACAGTCATTTTCAGAAGGTCAAAGTATTAGAGTAGATGCTAATGAGTTCCAATTCTGGTTTCTCTAACAGACTCAATATAAAAAAAGTTAG